ACGGCTGGATCTGGAGCCGAGCTCCGTCTGCCTCGACAAGATGGTCCGCAGCTTCATGGAGGACAACAACGGGGAGAAGCCCTCTTCCCGATGTGGTCACAGCCGCTGTAACTGCTTTCACGGCCACTGTGACGACAGCTCCGACGACGACCTCGACTTTATCTCCTCCTCCAACAGCGGCGACGCTCCGATCGTCTCCGCCGCCGAAGTCATCAAGGTACCAGCGGACTCCCTCAAAATCCACTCCCCGTTCGGTGGTTCTTATCCACTTGATATTTACGATTCAAGGCTCGTAGAATTCCCTCATTTCTACTTGAAAATAATGGGATTGCTACAGGGTTTGGTGGTTTGCACGACCGTCTCGGAGAGGAATCTCCTTGCCGATGCGTCCACCGTCGTGGAGAGGAGCAAGAATTTCAAGAGAAAGAACGAGCATATGAAGGCCGTCACCGATGGACTCCGATCGCTCGGCTACGACGCCTCCCTGTGCAAGTCGCGGTGGGAGAAGACCGCCTCCATCCCGGCCGGTACGTTCCTTCTCCGTCTCTCATCAATATCCCGCCGTTCGCTCGTCTCAATTTCCGACGACCGACGACCTGAGGGGTGTCGAAATGACGGCAGGCGAACATGAGTACATCGACGTCATCATCGTCGGCGAGCGGCTGCTGTTGGACGTGGACTTCAGGTCGGAGTTCCAGATCGCGCGGTCGACGAAGAGCTACGCCGCCGTGCTCCAGTCCCTGCCGTCCGTCTTCGTCGGGAAGGAAGACCGAGTCAGCCAGATCGTCGCAGTGGTCTCGGAGGCTGCACGGCTGAGCCTGAAAAAGAAGGGCCTCTACTTCCCTCCGTGGCGGAAGCCGGAGTACATCCGCTCCAAATGGCTCGCTCCCTACGAGCGATCGACTACCCCGGCGGACCATGAGCAAGCAGCGGAAGCAGTGGAAGAGACTCGCGCGTCGGAAGAGAAGGCCAAGACCGAGAACCCACGCGGCGACGCTTCAACGACTGACGAACCCGGCGAAGCAGAGGGGAAGAGCGCGGTGGTGACGGACCCCACGCAACCAACGGAGGCACTAAAAGAGACTGGCGCATTGGAAGAGAAAGCCCAGACCGAGAACTCGAGCGGCGACGCCTTCCCATCGACCGACGAACCCATAGAGGCAGCAGAGGGGAAGAGCACGGTGGCGGCCGCGTCGGCGCCACCGACGTGGGAGCTGCCGGAAGTGAAGCCCAGGACGCCGCACAAGGGAGCGAAGGTGGTCACCGGCTTGGCTTCCGTCCTTTCCGAAAACCCGTAATTTTCGTTTTATTATTTATTTTATTTTGTCTCATGAGGCTTATGGAAGCGCTTTAAATCTCGTGCTCCTTCCCTTCTTTTTCTGATCTTGTTTGTAAGAGGGGGGCTTGTATGGAGTGAATGCCCTGCTAATATAACTACGTAGTTAGTTATAGATGAAAATATCAAATAATAATATTTATTATTCTTATAAACGATACTTTTCTCATTATTTTGTTCCCCATGTAACTTTTTTCCCCGCAGATATTTCTTTTCTTTTTTTAACTGTTTATTTAATTGTCAAGCTCCTGGAACGGATCGCAAAGCTTCTCTGCCGGCGTCGGTCCCTGAAAGCGAAACATCGAGCAACAGGAGGGCGATACCCTACCAAAAATAAAGGTTATGCTCCTTACGTTCCTCTTTTATAAGCGAATGCTATTCTCCCGATATGATCGGTTTCTTCTTTTTTATGCTCTTATCCGCTACATGCATTCAAACACAAGTTGGACGGGGCGACGGGGGATGACGACGGCATGCTCGTGTTCGGCGTGATTGAGACGACGGACCCACAGGAGCCGCGTGAGGTACCTCCTTTTTTTTTCCCTGAACTGACTAAACTACCCCAACGTCTCGAACTTTCCGGGGGGCATACCCCGGGGGGCCGCGCGCTTGGGGGTAATTTAGGGACTCCACCCTTCCCAACTATGACGTCGACAGCGCAGATTAACATGTCGCGTTGTGTTGGGCGCTAACGTGGGCCAGTCTTATCCTGTTCTTCTCGTGATCCTCGTACCGAAGCATCCCGTTAACGGCGTCAAGGTCCCATCGACCGAGGGGAGTACTCATTTCCACGAGTCATTATTATAATGAAGGGATGGTACCACGATGCGTGCCCCTTCCTCCCGTCTCTTTCGCCGGTGCTTTGATTGTGATCGTCCTACTCTCCTCCTCACAGCCACAATCATTGGGCCCCTCTCTCTCTGTCTCTCTCCCCTCTCTCAAGTCACCGACCGATCCTAACCATCAGTCCTCTCGGTCTCATGACATCAAGCCATGATTTCGAATGCCCACTTCCTTACCCCAGGCGTCCCAGGAGCTACTGAACAAGAAGCAAAAGCAGCAGGTAGTCATCAACAGAATCAATGCCTTTTCCGTCTCATCCATCCATCCATCCATCCATCCCTCTGGTTCTGCAATTTGTCATGTAAGGAGCCATGGGAAGCACATCAATATCTCCGAATGAGAAACCGACACCTGGTAGTGAAGTCCTTTGTGGGTCAGCTGTCGGCCCGCGATTCGCTCCCCGGAGTACTGCTGAAGAAAAGGAGACCGGCCTACTCTATCCTCTACACCACACACATTCGAATAAGCGGCGACGTGGCGCGTGAACATTGGTCGGATCATCCGCTGCTGGCCACATGACCACATTGGAACACAAAGTCTGTGGGTCTGCGGCCATTATTTCTCTTTTCGGATCCGCTGTCTCGGTCAGAACCGGGAACACGATTCACCTTCTCGAACAAAAGCGGAGAGCCGTGTTCCCACACCCGAGAGAGCTCGACTCGTGCAACGAATCGAGGTGCACCCTAAGTCGCGTCGTGTTCCGTTAAATTCGGTCACCGACTCCTTTTCGGGCCCAGTTTTTGTACCCACCCATCTGAAACTACAGTGTGGTGGCTACCTGAGCGATTTGTCCTCTTCGGATGCATGACATATGTAGGACGTACCTGTGCATGTGCTCATGATTTCACGTAGCCCTGCGTCCGGTCGTCCCACCTTCGACGATTTAACGTTTCACGCCGCTGCATTGGATGAGGGTAAGCGGATTTAATGCAGCTCTTTTGTCTTGCACCGCTAAAAGCTGCAAAGACGGTCGAACAACCTGACGCAGTTGGGCGTCGTAGGAATCGTATACCTTTTATCACGTTCCATTCATCCAAACAAAAACCATTTTAGATTTTTTTTAGCATAATTTTCTGGGGTGACTTTTCGAGAAAAAAAATTCATTAAGAATTTTCATAAAGTATCCTAACTTTAATTTTTTTAATAAATAATTATTTTACCTCTAACCTCCTATCGAACTCTCGTCTTTGCTTTTGTTATGCTCACTCACGACCCTCGTGTGAGGAAGAAGAGAATACGAACCTTATCTAACTCACCCTTGCAAACAAAGAGGCAATGACGATCAGAACTGTATAATAGACCCTTGTACGAGGGTTGTGAGCAACACTGATGACTCTCGTGTCCCCTCCTTCCTTGCACGATGGTTACGGGTGACGCGTGCAAGGACAAGATTAGCGGAGGCAAAAATAGTTCTCATGTGAGGACTACGAGTGATAATGCAAGATCAAGATGAAGACGAGTCCAACAAAAGTAAGGGCAAAATAATCTGACTAATTGTGGGAATTTTTTAAAATTAGGGTTTTATGTAGGAAATTATCAAAGTTAATTTTTTTTTTCAAAAATTTGTTCATTTTTCTTCAAAATATAAAAAATAAAGAAGTTGCATGTTTGATCTTATGAAATTAACATTTAATTTTTAGACATACTCAACGAGGATATATTTGGATATTAAAAATTATTATTCTATATTCTTCATCGATCTATCAAACAAATACAGAGTTTGTTCGATTCGATACATCTAATATATGACTTGTTCCATTTTAATTTTTTTTTAATTTTTTAGGTATACACTGATGTATGAACATAACAAATAATATTTTATGTGCATCGTCTCACAGTGTAAATCAAAATCGCAAACCTATAGTATAGTCCAATATTTAACATAGAAAAAGATTTAAATCGATTTATAAGAGATATAGATAAGTACAAGATTAAATAGTTTGGAACAATGATTCCCACTCAATAAAATTAATAATTATCTGAAAAGATACGATCACAACAAAGTCTTCGAACTTGGTAGATAGATCGAGTACTGCACTAAATCTCTAGAAATAATGCAAGCATAGTCAGCGATGAGATGTACTATTATTTTTCTGGATTCTAACAACTCTCACCCAACAGTCATCTGATAAGAGCAACTCACAGACCCATCAACTCTTTTTCCTGGATATAATGGCGAGAAGCTGACATGATGTGTCTGCTCTTATCTTCTTCTGCACCCCATTTCTTTGCTCTCGGAGGCTTGCAAGAGCCCCACGTCTCAAAACTGTTCCCTCTCCCTGATGATAACATACAGGATAAGGTCTACTGGTTTCAGCTCATACTTCTCATCTTATGTGCAGGTCCACAGGAGTGGTCCAAAAGAACCAGCCTGTTGTGGCCTCTGTCAAGTCAATGTTCCTCCATCAAGTTGGGTGTCAAGTTGAAGAGGAGAGACATAAAAGAAAAGGTATGTGTCCTTCTCAGAACTCCAGAATTTCTACCATCTGTGCCTTCCATATTGATGTATGAGAAAAGGTGGGTTGCAGTATCATTATCAGCTAATCAGGCATGAGACAAAACTGGTCTGACTAGATCTGATTGAATGGTCAAATATAATATTCCTCAATCAAAAACAATTCCATCAAGTGGAAACTTAAATTGCCTGCCATACATCAATCTGGTGGAACAAAGAAGATTTCAAGATCATGATGTAGAATAAGATACAGCACAGAAGACTCTTCCAAGAGAAAATTTTGAAAGGATAGAAGTCACAAGGACTTGCAGGACTACTGTCTTCTTATGAATTCTGCAAAGATTAAAATGCATCTCCAGAATCATATACCATCAATTACAACAAAATCACTTTTTTCTTCTATTTATTAAAATGTTTTCTCAGAAACTATAGGCACTGCGACGATGGTGATACCGTATAACAATGCCGATATCAGCCTACAACACGAATTATCTGTCAAAATACAGACAAGAAGGAACAATAATACCTGACTTACACAATATAGAACGGGATATTATAATGCAGAAGAAATTTACTGATTTCAACGCTATGTTTTTTCGCTGTAATTTCTTACAGACCAAGTGGCTACCATCAGAGTGTGAAAGCTATTGGCAATAAATTCAGGATGTTGACTTCATTCTTTTCCATCAGCTGCACGAAGGGAACCCAACTGGACCGGTGCTTGGGTTCCCACGACTTTAGATGATCCATAAAGAGACACATCAAGTCCCTGAGTTTTTTCTTTCTCAATTTGTTCCTTTATCCAAAAGTATGTAAATCTGAGGCCATCCTGTTGAAATAGAGGAAATCGCTCCATTATTATAGCAGAGTTGCAAAATAGAGGAACCCAAAAAGTCAAACAAACAGGATCTACAGAAAAATACTGTATTGCATACCTTCAGCCTCATAGATGGAGCCCAGCCAAGTTTCTCTTTGATCAGTGTGTTGTCAGAGTTGCGGCCACGGACACCCTCAGGACCAGGAATGTGATGGATGGAAAGGTTTTTATTCTCAAAACTGAGTACTATTTCAGCCATTTCATTCATGCTCACCATTTCATCACTGCCAATATTGACTGGCTCTCGGAAGTCTGACTTTGTCAATCTGATCTCAGAAAAAATAATAAGCTTGAGGAAATTTGTTGGCTATAGTTAGATTCTATCAACTTTTAGTAGTTGTTAAGACTTGATCCTTGCGTCAAGCGAATAGGAAGTTGGAAAATTTTGTATAATTAGAAATCCATCAGGCACTTTGCATCATAGTTACCTTAGAACACCTTCAACACATTCATCAATGAAGGTGAAGGATCGAGTTTGCAGCCCATCTCCCCACATCTCAAATTTATCTGTAGAAGTTAATGCCTTACGGCAGAAAGCAGCAGGGGCTTTCTCCCTCCCACCTGTGGTGTATTCAGGATAATCTCAACAGTTAAAACAATCTCAAAAGTAGATTTGCTTGCAGATGCCTCAACAACTCGTGACATACCTTTCCAAGTTCCAAAGGGACCATAAATGTTATGGAACCTTCCAATCCGACACTCAATGCCAAAGTCCTTATTGTAGTGCTTGCACAACTCCTCCGTAGCAAGTTTTTCCAACCCATAAGCATCTTGAGGCTGCCACGACGACAGTAGTTCAGAATTGCACTCACACATTAAAGTAGGAGTCGAAATAATTAATTATTGAACTTATTTAGAACATAATAAAACCAACAATATTGATGATTCAAGACCAACAAACCTCGGCAGGCCAAGCATCAGACTCCTTCAAGCTCACATTAGTGTCCAACTGCTTGAACTCGGGGTAGATGCAAGCACTTGAGGCATAAAAAAACCTGCAGATATTCATCTTTTAAGTTTTGTATGTGCAAACTAGCATGCAAATAAGAGGGAAATTTAAACAAAAGATGACCAAGTTCATAACTAGTTAGGCAAGCCTAAGAAGCATAAATATAAAGAAGAGAAACCAGTATGAAATAAAGTGCATCAGAAGAAATATGTTTCTGGATATTTTGGAAGATATTATAGAGTTAATAAAAAGCTTTCACAGGCATCACTAGTAACTTGACTACAACTTACTATGGTAGGCGCCGATAAGACACCAAAACAGTATGGTAGGCGCGCAAGTGGACCAAGTAGACCATGCTTAGTAACACTAATGAGAAAAATAGAGCATACACATGAGATATAGCTCCATAATTTACATCATTAGACAAAATATCTTCCTCGCGGACTAGGTGTTGTTGTTTTTCAACTTTTCATCCATTATTAATTGCTCCAAGTTAGTGAATGTCTTTTTCTCATTGTGACCACTAAACAATCTGCAATGAGAATTGAAATGTACTCGGATGAACATATCATCCAATGCTGAACCAAATGGACAGCAGCCAGAAGTTTACAGGAAGTTAATCAGTATTTTTTGGTTTTCCTTATTTTTTATAAGCCAAACACAAATATGTTCTGGGAGACCTAATTATACCTTGTGAAATATGACGGTGGGTCTAGCTGGATAGTAGAGTCATAACTTTAAAGTGTTTAAGCATAAAACCATATGATCTTCAAAAGCATGACATGCCACAATGACCACTAAATCTAATGTCATGCGATTCTACAGTTTAATCACCTTGCCTAACAGCATACTAAGTGAAAATTGAGTCAAATCTGTTAATGTTACATGCTCAAATTCCATGATAAAAATAGGGGCTTACATATATAGCAATTATGTACCTTTTCACACCATTGATCCTTGCAGCTTCAAGCATGTTGAAACTGATCATAGTGTTATTGTAGAAGATCACCGAATGGTTGGATTGGATGAAGCCCATTCCTCCCATATCAGCAGCAAGGTTAAATACGTGGTCCACCCCACTAGTGACCTTCAAGCAATTATCCATGACCCTCAGATCAACAAGATGGAATTCATGACAGAACATATCCTCAGTCATATGTTCATTCTTCTTCCAGTCAGAGGCTATAATATAGTGACCCTCACTCTTCAGACGCCTTGCAATATGAGATGCAATAAACCCTCCAGCTCCGGTGATGGAAATCCGCAACTTTTCAGAAGGCCAGTATGGCTCTCTCTCCAAGTTTGCATAAGTGTATTCTCCATAGTTGGTCTCATCATTTCCAGTGCTGCCCATTCTGCAACTTCAAGTTTATTTCATAAAATAATTTTTCATGAAATATACAAAATATTTTTTTCTGATGAGATATACAAAATAATTTCATAAAATATCAAACGCAAGTTACCTGAAAGTAATTCAAGAAAACCAATGACAAAGCTACAAGTGAGTCGAAGCACATGAGATCCAGATCAAACCAGTGACTCAAGTAAGATATGGAGGGTGAACATGGTGGTAAAACAATATAGCAAGTTGCGAGTAGCAGATACAATTGATAAACAAGGTACAACAACAAGCAAAGACGACTCTAAAAATACGAAAAGTAGGGAAAAATTTTCCCATTTGCAAAAGTAGAATTTGAGCAGGCACATAATCAACGACAGAGAAGCAACCTGTCTTCCATAGCACCACGAGAAACTCGACAAAAAAAGGGGGACATGTTTATGCTTCAACCTCACACATTAGCAAGCTTTGTGAAGAACAAAATCCAATAGTCTACATCTCAAGAAGAAAGTAGAGATCAAAGCCCTGGATGCAATCCATTAATTTATGCCTCAGAGAACAGTTAAAGTCACAAAGTCAAACCGAGTGAGATCTGACACCTGAATGCCCAAGACTAATGATGATAACAACCAAAAATGAGTGTCAATCTTAGTACCTTCAATACTTATTCGCCAATCACAGTCAAAGCTAAGTTCAATCCGTATGCGACAAGAGTTAATAAGGAAAAGTAACAATACCATAAAAGCCACAAGGATTCTGCAATTTGATTATAAGGAAAAATCATCCACAGCGACCGGTAATAGTAACAGTAAATTACAATTATAACCATCCAAAATAGATATACCCTGTGACAATAGATACCAAATCTAAAGAGTAGAAGACAGAGCACAATGATTAGCGAAGCAACCATATGAATAAAGCGGGAAAGAACAAATTGTTAGCAGGAAAAAGCACGAATCGGAGCATGTTTTAGGTCCCCACAACAGTAAAACTAGGAACTTAAGCAATCATTCATGACACCACACAATCAACACGGTACCCTACAAGAAATCTGACGAGCCTGAACTATGCTTGGATTGATAAAGAAGGAATTAAGCTCTTGCTCGAAACCGCACCACGAGCGATACAGAAGATGATGAATCCAAGGACGAAAAGCGTCTGGCTTTCGTTCAGCTAAAACAACAACAAGATAACGCATCAACAAAGGTTTACCTCGTCGACTGAAGGAAAAGGTGGGGAGAGCAGAAAACCGAGGAAGAGAGGAAGGAAGCGGAGAGAGAGAGGAGATCTCGGTGGCCGGTGGAGCTCTTCGCCGCCCATTATATAGAGGAAGGGCGGAAGATTGGTCACTTTGTCCGACGAAATAGTAATAATAAATGGAAGCGCATGTTTTCTACTCTTTATTTTTATTCCAGCTAATTTCTATGGAGGGCTCGCCAAATTTGACCCGTTGCGGGCACGGCGGTGGACCCACACACGCGAGTCGCCCCATCTCCTGTGGGCCCCGGAGTCGTGTCCAATTGTACTAATGGGAGTGACGATTATTGGTATCTCCGGGTCGGGTTCTGTTGGGACAGATGTGGATGAGCCCGAATCGAACGGTGAAGGCGACGCCACGTCTTGGACGTCATGGAGGCTAGATTTACGCGTTGAACGTACGCACTTGTTGTGCTTGCCCCGTCACAGCGGGAAAAGCTCCGTCGTTGATCCTCATCAGAGCGTAGTCTGCACACCCGTCGTAGTCTGCACACCCGTACGTCCGCGGCGTGAGCTGAAGTGGCAGCGAAGATCGGCTCGCGAAGCGAAACAGCGATTACATACATACATACATACATACATATATATATTTATATATATATATATATATACATATATATACATATGTATATATGTATATACATATGTGTATATGTATATACATATGTGTATATATATACATATATATATATATATACATATATATATATATACATATATATATACATACATATATATATATATATACATATATATATATATATATGTGTGTATATATATATATGTATATATGTATGTGTATGTATATATATACATATATACATATATATATGTATATGTATATACACATATACATATATATGTATATATGTATATATATATATATATATACATATATACATATATACATATATACATATATACATATATACATATATATATATAC